TAGTCACTTGCTAAGGTCTTCCTAGACATAGTGACAGAGATGGTATCTTCTTGAGTGATTTTTCGAAGGAGCTCTTTACACTACAGGGGGTACAACTACACACCTCATCAGCATATCACCTTCAATCTGATGGACAAACTGAGGTGTTGAACAGAAAACTTGAAACATACTTAAGATGCTACTGTAATGAAGATGTTGTCAACTAGTACTCATGCTTGCCTATGGCTGAGTACCGGTACAATACCTCTTTCCATTCAGCTATCCAAACTACTCCTTATGAAGCATTGTATGGCCGGCCACCACTCTTACATCTGCCTTTATTTATCAGGAGAATCATATTCAGCTGAAGCTAACAACTCTTTGATAAATAGGGAACTGCAACTAGAACTGCTTAAACACCACTTAAGGAGAGCACAACTCAGGATGAAGCAATAAGCTGACTCTCATAGAAGTGACAGGCAATTTGCACTTGGGGATTGGGCTTACTTAAAGGTCCAGCCGTATAAACCCATTTCTAACCATTCCTCACACAAATTGGCTTCCAAGTATTATCGGCCATTTCAGATTATCAAGCGGATTGGTCCAGTTGCCTATACCCTTTTATTACTTGCAGGAGTAAAAATTCACCCTACAGTTCATGTGTCACTACTGAAAAAATGTTATAAAATTCCTTCACAAATCTCCAACCCTCCTATCATTGATTTAGCCACCCCCTACTGTCTTGATCCTGAGCTAGTTTTGCAAAGAAGAAGGATAAAAATAGGCAATAAAGTTGTGGCACAGGTTTTAGTTAAATGGCAAGGATTGCATGCTAATGCTGCTACTTGGGAACTTGTCACTGTTTTACAAACTCGATTTCCCTTGTGTGATCCCTGCGGACAAGGATCTTCTATTTGAGGGGAGTACTAATACAAGTTATTGAAAAGGAGTCGAGTAGTTAGTTAAGAAATGAACAATTAGTTAGCAGTCCAAAACGCCGTTAGAGTTAGTTAGAGTTAGTTACAATAACTAACTTATGTTAATGAGAGAATCTGTCGGTAGGATTGGAACTCATGATACAATGTAATTGATATAAATACATCTGTAATACATATTCAGTATCCTCAATGAAATATACACTTCTATCCTAAATCTTCTCTCTTCCATTCTTTTCTCTTTTGTGATTTTCATTTCTAGCTGACCTCTCGAAGCTTCCTCGAGTTCATCTTGAATTCCTGCAATCGTGTATCATTCAGAGACATGCTCTTATATAATAATGAGAAGATTGTTTTCATGTCCGTTGTTATGAACAGTGGGCCTCAAAGGATCAATCCTCCATATGCCGTCAACAATGAACTTGATCTGCACAAACAGAAATGAGAGGCTCGGTACAGTACAGGATAACACAGTATGATATGAAATTCGTTGCAATCAATAAAACCCACCTCATATGTGCCTGGATACAGCTTCAGGCTTATGGAAAAGACACGCTCGCGTGATTTTTCCATCTTTCTCTGCATTTAAATACATCCCATCAAGCTGCTAGACAAGGACAAGATGCCCCTTGAAATCAACATCACAAAGTCCCTCACANTTTTCATTATTAAGAGACCGTTGACATGCCATTTTCAAGGCATTTGATGCTTTAGGAACAGCTTTAGAGAAAACTACTTGATGGTACATGGAACTCTTTAACTCAAGTACAACAATGTTATCTAATTTCTCTCCTAAATGCCAAGTGACTTTTCCGGAAAAAAAGGGGTAACTGGTAGACCATCTTCTGAAGTTCTCAGCAAGGATTAAAGAAGTGCA